GGGAGTGGTTGGGGGGGAGGGTGGAAGTGGTAGAGGGGGCTGCGCAAGCAGAAAAGCGAGCGTAAGCGAGCATTTGATGCTTGTTTATATTATTGAAATCCCAAACTATGACCCCACCCCACCGGCAATAATGTGAGGTGCTTAGTTAGACCCTAAAAGATAGGCATGCAATAGTGCCCAGCCAGCTGAGTGATAGGCACAATAGGTGTCGACAGAGCCTGGAACCTCTCTAAACAGCTCAGGAGGATGGGTAACGTTAATAAATTACTAGCGTGCACAAGTATTTATTTTCCACGCCTTCGTACATGTAGGAACGGCGGCCTCGGAGCTAAGGGAGTTGAAGCCCGTTGGCTGGCACCACTCGGATAATATAGTTACATACATAATAATAATATAGCCACCCATCCCCAGACAACACCTCTCCTCCACCACACACCTACCTCACTCCCTATCTTGTGCCCTGTTGCATACCTCCTCGTTCCTTGGTCGCGGTGTGTCCAGCTCTTCGCGAGCAGGTGGTGGTAATACAAATCTCTCTTGCTAATCTCTGTCACAAGCGCAGAAGGGCAATCGGGGACTTTGCCGGCGGCCTGTTGTCCATTTCCAGCGCTGACCTCTGTCTCTTTCTCACTCATTCTGAAAATTTATTTATTTAGCTAGTACGTTGTTATTTTTATATCATTCTATTTCCCGTTTTTACTGCTATTTCCCATTTCCTACATCATTGCAGGGGGTGCTCGTGCTCTCGGACTGACTTATATTTTTTTTCTTTGCTCAGGAACTCAACTGGCGATTTCCTCCGCTCATTCTTCTCCGACCCCCTATCCTCTTCTTCTTCTTCTTCTTCTTCTTCTTCTTCTTTTTTTTTTTTTTTTTTTTTTTTACGGCTGATCGCACAACGTTTTCACAATGGCCCAAGTCGATACCTTGGACTTGGTGGTCCTGATTGCCATTCTCGTCGGTAGCGTCGCCTATTTCACCAAGGGCTCATTATGGGCCGTTGTCAAGGACCCTTACGCCACGAGCTTTACAACCGCGAACGGCGCAAAAGCTGGGGCATCAAGAGACATCATCGAGAAACTAAACGAAACCGGCAAGAATTGTGTGATTTTCTTCGGCTCCCAGACCGGCACCGCTGAGGACTATGCTTCCAGATTGGCCAAGGAAGGATCCCAGCGATTCGGTCTGAAGACAATGGTCGCCGATTTGGAAGATTATGATTATGAGAATCTGGATAAGTTCCCTGAGGACATGGTCATGTTTTTCGTCCTGGCCACCTACGGCGAGGGCGAACCTACGGATAACGCGGTGGATTTCTACCAATTCCTTACCGGAGAAGATGTCGCATTTGAGGGTGGCGGAGGAGCCGATGAAAAGCCCCTTTCCTCCATCAAGTATGTCGCATTTGGACTGGGAAATAACACTTACGAGCATTTCAACTCGATGGTACGAAATGTCGACGCCACAATGACGAAGCTCGGAGCGAAACGAATTGGGGAGGCCGGTGAAGGTGATGACGGTGCAGGCACAATGGAGGAGGACTATCTGGCCTGGAAAGAACCCATGTGGAAGGCTCTTGCTGAGGAAATGGGTTTGGAGGAACGAGAAGCCGTTTACGAACCTGTATTTTCTGTTATCGAAGAACCAGAAACGTCACCAGAAGCCGACCATGTCTACCTGGGCGAACCGAACTCGAACCACCTCGAAGGCCAGCAGAAGGGACCATACCACGCGCACAACCCGTTCATTGCTCCTATCGTCGAGTCTCGAGAACTCTTTACCGTCAAGGACCGCAACTGCCTACATATGGAAATCAGCGTCGAGGGAAGCAACCTCTCTTACCAAACCGGCGACCATATTGCCATCTGGCCCACCAATGCGGGAGCGGAAGTGGACCGGTTCGCAGCTGTCTTTGCAATTACCGATAAACGCAATATGGTGATCAAGATTAAGCCTCTGGACGTTACTGCCAAGGTTCCCTTCCCTACCCCGACCACGTACGACGCCGTTATAAGATATCATATGGAAATTTGCGGACCCGTATCCCGCCAATTCATCGCTTCTCTCGCGACCTTTGCCCCCGATGAAGCCTCGCGCAACGAAATGAAACGATTAGGAAGCGACAAGGACTACTTCCAAGAAAAAATTGCCAGCCAGTATATGAACATTGCCCAAGCCCTACAAAGTGTCACCCCTCTACCGTTCACAGACGTCCCATTCTCCCTACTTATCGAAGGTATCCCTAAAATTCAACCGCGATACTACTCCATCTCGTCCTCCTCCCTATTACAAAAACACAAGATAAGCGTCACCGCCATTGTGGAATCCCTCCGCATCCCCGGCGCCACACACAGCCTCAAAGGTGTCACGACAAACTATCTTTTGGCCCTGAAGCAGAAGCAGCATGGCGACCCCAACCCAGACCCGCACGGCTTAACGTATGCCATCAACGGGCCCCGAAACAAGTACGACGGTATCCACGTCCCTGTCCACGTGCGCCATTCCAACTTCAAGCTCCCCTCGGACCCAAGCAAACCCATCATCATGGTTGGGCCTGGTACCGGTGTCGCGCCGTTCCGTGGGTTTATCCAGGAACGCGCGGCGCAAGCTGAGAGGGGTGATACTGTCGGCCCAACTATCCTGTTCTACGGCTGCAGAAAGCGAGAGGAAGATTTCTTGTATAAAGACGAGTGGGAGGTATGTATTATCAATTTTTTTTTCTTTTACTTATTCAAACCCACCCAACCCAATCCACTCTTCCGCACCCAAAAGATAAATTTTTTACGCAGCCACACTAACCACCACCATCATCACCGTTAAAAATAAATTAGACCTTTGCCTCCAAACTCGGCTCATCCCTCCAAATCATAACCGCCTTCTCCCGCGAATCCTCGAAAAAGGTCTACGTCCAACACAAGCTCCGCGAACACGCCAAGCTCGTAAACGACCTCCTCCTCCAAAAGGCCAACTTCTATGTCTGCGGCGACGCAGCCAACATGGCGCGCGAGGTGAATGTCGTCCTCGGCCAGATCATGGCGGAGCAGCGGGGGCTGGCGCCGGAGAAGGGCGAGGAGCTTGTCAAGCATATGCGGAATAACGGGTCGTATCAGGAGGATGTTTGGTCGTGAGTAAGGGGGTCTGAGTTAGGGGGTCTGAGTTAGGGGGTCTGAGTTAGGGGGTCTGAGTTGGGTGATGATTGTTGGGGGCTTTGATTTTCTGTTTTTCATGAGTTGTTGATTGATATATATATATATATATCACTCTGGTGTCGCATGGCATTCGCATGGCATGGCATGGTATGCATGAATATGTTTGGGTTTTCTATTTTTTTATTTCTATATTTTCATTTTCTCTTTTCTTTTTGATAGGATATACTTCTTCGTTTCTTCCTTCCTTCCTTTTCCTTTCTTTTTCCTTTTCTTTACCCCTCTTCTTGATTTCATCTTTCCATATACTACTTTTTTATAACTTCTTTGTTCTACGTTTTGTAAGTGATAACGCATAGATTGCATTGTGTCCCCTTTTCTCTTTCACTTTTTATTTCGGTTCTCGTTTTACATTTATACACCTCTCTGCTCAATTTTGCCTTTTCTGTTTCCATATTTTAGGTATTTAGGTATGCCTGCCTACACTACTGTACAACGATATTTTCTTCGACTGTGTCACAACCCAGTCATTCCGCTCCAGTTCGCCGATGAATAAAGGTCACATGACCACAGCACAGCTGCCGAGGTCGCTTCGAGTGGTAGGTACCGACCGCTCTTTCCAACATTCGACGTTATTTATCTACTAAATCCATCGTCTACACTACAGAGACGCATGCGATGAAAGAATGCGTGGTAAATAACGAGCGAATGAGATAGCTATCCCCATACCAAATTGGACCACAAGACCAATTAATGGTTGATGCTCTTTGCTCTTTGGCATATTTTTTTACCTAGGTAAACCCACACCAAGGTCCAGCAATGGGCGTTGCGCCATATGCATCCATGCATGTGAGAGAGGAACTTGTCCTGTGGGCCTTGTTATTATTTTGGACTTGCGGGGTGTGTAGGTGGTGTGGGTGGCTTTTTCTTTTTCTTGCCCGGCTCATTCGGGAAGACGGCGGTCGTACGAATTTCCAGACCGGTTGTTTTTTTTTTTTTTTTGCTGCTGTTGTACGCCCTTTCCTTTTCCCGTGTTTCCCTCGTGAGTTCTGACTCCTTTTGGGACCCGTTGTCTGTTGCCGTTCCCCTGTGGCTGGTCCACTTTACTGGGGTTCCGGAATATTTTCCGCTGAGATCGGTGCCGTTTAATCCGGTAGGGCAGCGGTGAGGGAAAAAGATTAAAATTAAAATTAAAATTAAAAAGAAATATGGAAAAGGGGAACACTGTCACGGTTAATTCAAAGGGTGTCTTGAAGGATAGAGTTTCTTTGTTCACCTCGTTACCGAGAGGAGTTGACTAACTCACAGTGTTCGAGCAATAGGTAAGTTAATGCATTGACTAACATGATATAGCGGCGTATGATGTCGAACAGCGGCCCGAGTAAGCAACTAGCAGAGTTCCTTCTGGACAGTGATGACAACCCCTTTGTCAAGATGCACATTTGTGTCTCTCTTGTATATATTCCAACTCGACCTCAGAGGAGAGTTTGCCTCGATCTCGCTCATCCTTCATATAGCCACTCCCTGTGTGTCGACCGCTCAGGTGTGGCCATAAATGAGGTTGGAGACTTTTTTTCTTTTTTGACCATGGGAGGTACTTCCATGCATCGTCCATAATACCCGGCTGCCACATAGTTCAACTATGTGGATGTTGCATGTTTCTTTCTCTTTTTCTGACTTCTGAGAATGCCCTCTGGGTACGTTTTCCCTGTCTCTCAGGGCAGGTGTATCTCTCTCTCTCCGTGGGGCTTGTTGCCAACCCGTGTGCTTTCTCCATAGAGGATGGGATGAAAAGGAGGAGTCTCTCCTTCCCTCGACTGGAAGCCCAGAGGTCAGAGACACTGTAAATACAAGCAGTCGTCGTTTCTATAGGCAAAACCCCGGTCGAAAGCATGTTAGCAGCTTGTCAAATGTAAACAGCCTGCTGGGGAATGGTAGATATATATGGGCCGGAAGGACTATACCACGAATACCGTGACAGTGACAGGCCAGCTGATTCTTTCCCTCTGTTCTCTAGTTGGCAGTAGCAGAGCAGAGCGGTGGTGCCTACTGTGGTTGAATGAGTGAATTCCGCATGAAATATAAAAAAGGGGCAGGGCAGTTGTGTTGTCCTCGTTGCAGTTAGTGACTGGCGGTGGTTTCTGTGTGTTGTTGATGTTGTTGTTGCTGCTACCGAGAGTGCAGCGTGCTTTCCCTGGCCAACACCCACCCAGCCCCAACCCAGCTATAAACCTCTCGTCTCATCTCTTCTTCTCCCTTTCTCTTCTCTCCCTCCCCCGGCCATCACCATCACCATCCTCATCATCCTCACCATCCTCATCATCCTCATCCTCATCATCCTCATCATCCTCATCATCCATCTCAATCACTTCCTCTCGCTCTGTTTAGCATCATCATCGAGACTAGCCCAGCTCCTGCAAAGCTGCTAGCTTCTCTCGCTTTACACCATTGCCCCTTTTTCCCCCCTTATTCATCTCTAACCTCTTCATTCGTCCAAGTTCAGTGCAGTTCTTTCGTTGATCATTGTTGCTCCTAGCATCCGTTTCTTCCTTTCATTCTAGCCTTGCCTGTTTCTTCTTCTCCTTGTGCTGCGTGGTCGTCGTCTTTGTCTGTTACTCTCTGTACCACTGCATCCACGGCCTTTACTGGGTTCCTACTCCGTATCCACAGGGCTTGTTCAGGTGTAGTATTCTATCTACTTATTAAACCTTATCCATTAGGCCATATACCTGTTTTCTTACACTTTTGTGCTCACTAACATGGATATCTTGGAGAAGCTCGGTATTCTCGCCGCAAAACCTGGTCTCAACGGGTCGTCTGTTACGCCATTTATTCAGGTAAGTACGATATTCCATGTACTTCGTGGCTGCCCGCTTCGCTCGTTGCTTCTATCCCTGTTCTCTTGTCCCTGTGGAGTCGAATCTATCGTTTAATTCCACTACCAATTATCCCTCCTACCTGAGCCATTGGCTTGCAATAAGACTTTCGACATCTTGTCCCACGACCTATGTGAAAAAAAATTGAGGTCCTTTAAGGAACTTGAATATTTTTTCTTGTGTCAGCCTAGCTCTTTAGGTCCACTGACCCCTAGAATGACATTTAGAAATCCCAATTTGCAAATATGCAAGCCCAAACTCAACAGCAGCAACTGCCTGGTGAAGCTAGCGCTGCCCATTCACAGAACCAGCCAGCTTACAACATGGAACATCAGAACCGTTTCTATCAGCATGTTCCTCAGACTAGCGGGGTAAACGGGAGTATGAGGGATCCCAATGTTCAAGCTATTACCCACGCTGTTGGAGGCCTGAACTTGCAAAACCAGCGTCACAATGGCAAGTTTGTAGCCTTCAAGGGAAATCTCCATGCTTCTCACGGTAGCAACGGTGATATGGCTAGTATTCAGCGTCCATATAATGGGCAATACTTGATTGTGCCTAATGGAAGTATGTTTGGTGGTGTGCCCACGGCAAATCAGTATGGACATCTCCATGTTCAGGCTACTGACCAAGGTAATTCAGTACCATATTTACCTGCGGGATTATACCCGAACTTCGTAACTGCCCCCTCGGTGGTTCCAGGTTCTGTCCCAGGATACACCTGGCCCTATGCTATGAACGGTGACGCACCTGAACTTTCCGGCCCTCGCCGTGATTCTTGGTCTTCAATCGAGGAAAATCATCCTTGTACTCCGGGGGTTGATCAAGCTGGCCATCAGGAGTGCTACCCTGCTGTTGCACCGACAGATCGTTCCCCAATGTTGTACAATTACGGCACTCCGTCTCCGTCAATGGTACCTCCTCAACCATATCTCCCCTACCAGATGATGAAGGGTGCCGGCGGTTATGTACTGCAGGACCTTGATGCTTTGACGCAGCAGGATCCTGCAATTCCACGTGCAGTGCCTGCCATGTGGACCAACCCCTCGGACCTCACCCTGGCTAAATGCCTCGAGAACAGAGAGGGTATCACCAATGTCTATATTCGGGGCTTCCTACCCGAAACAACAGATGAGATGTTGCATGCGTATGCATCTCGTTTCGGAAAAATTGATCGCTGCAAGGCAATTGTTGATCTTGAAACTGGCCTTTGCAAAGGGTTTGTATTGCCTTCCACAGTGGTTTCCGAATGGATATATTGCTGATCACTCATAGATTCGGTTTCGTTCAATTTTTCAGCTTTGATGCCTGCGAGAACTGCATTCGAGGTTTCTTCCATCTAGGCTATCAGGCCAGTTTTGCCCAGGTATGTCCGCCTAAACTACCCAAACAAAATCTACCAGAGTCAAAGGAAAGACTAATAAACTATAGAAATCTCGTAATTCTCGACTGAAGGATCTTGAAGACAAGAGTTCTACTAACGTCTATTGTACTAATGTTCCTATCGACTGGGTGGAAGCGGTGAGATTTCCCATATATATCCGTATCATATCTTGTATTTCTTTCCTGATGAACTACTAGGATTTGCGTCGCCATTTTCAACCATATCAAGTTGTTTCAGAGAAGATCAGCCGTGATGAGAAAACTGGCGTCAGCAAGGAAGTTGGGTTTGCCAGGTTAGCGATTTCGCCTTCTAAGCTGATGATATTTTGCAGACGCTAATCTGTGCTGTTTGTTCTAAAGGTTTGAGTCTCGCGAAATTGCAGAAAAAGTTTTATCTCAGTTCCACAACATCACAGCTCAAGATGGGGTCAAACTTCTCCTCCGCTTTGCGGATACGAAAGCGCAGAAACAACTCAAGTTGCAGAGCAATGAACGTCGTGCTTACCGTGCCGGAGAATACAACTATTCAGTCGAAATGGTCAATGGATCTACGCCGTCGCCCACGCTTCAGCGTTTGCAACAGACAGCCTCTCACTTTAGTCCAAACTCACAGGCAAGCTTCCCTTCTCCTTTGGGGCCTGGTCCTGTCTGGACACCTGCAACCTCAATATCCCCACCGTAAGTTAATCCAATCCATTTCTCGCATATATAAAGCTGACGGCCATGGTAGTGGCCCAATGATGAATAAGTCTGTGAACAGTCTTCGTCTTAACTCCTGGGGACCACGCAGTAATGGAAATATTGAGAACACTCCGACATTCCGCGGCCGCCCAGCTTTCAATTCTCAGGGTTCATATGGAGATAGCCTCTCCACTGGATCTTCCAAGACAGTTCTCCCCGTTTCAGGCGGTGTGACAAGATCCGAGAATTCCAGCCCCCGAAAGGAAAACTACCGTGCAGGATCTACTTCTCCACTTGGTCGACGGAGGGAAATTACTGTTGCGACCCCGAAATCGTCCACTTAGAGATTTAAGAGGCTGCCGGCTTCTGTTTTGAGTCTTACCGGCTCTGTATGAACGATTAATTTGACCAACTTCGCCTACGGCTATCTGGTATGGAGCTATAATAGGTGTTGCATCGTCAGTCACACGCAGTTACGATTAATGGATAACGACTCACGGTATCACGGAAAAACTGATTGTATTGAAATATCCTCACAACAAGATATACGATATCTCTTCTCTCCTTTTACCTGTTATCTTCGGTGGTCAGAAAGTCATTCTTTTATCTAATGCGTGCCCAGGGACAATAGTATCAATCGCAGATATTTCATTTCCGGCGCGTAACAGTTCAGCGTTGCATACTATTTGCTTTTGGCGATTGCCAGTACGATGTTTGACAGAAATTTTTTTGATGTTATCGGCTTTATGGTATGGGGGCATCTCTAGCACTACATAGTGCCATGTCTGCTTATGATGAGGGATGAAGATGGATGATTACACGATGTTACGAACTTCGGTTTAAGAGGCGGATGTGTACGCCAGTGATGAGACAAGTGATGGGGCAATTGCCTTGACTTATTTTAGCTTTTAGCATGTGATTTTACAAATAGCAATAATGGAACTTCAATTTGCTCATAGTATAGAGGTGAGAGGTAGTAAGTAGGTTAGATCTTACCGTGTCAATACGATTTCAACTGCCCCCGTGCGAATTATCAGAAGGAGTAACTAATATAGCAAAACCCTCTTCTGCATGTAGGTGCAATAGACAACAGAAGCAATTTAGCCAATACTGCTGCAGCGGACCAGCAGCCAAAGGCATATGCCAGATACCTATATTCAAAACATAACAATCCTTCTATTTGCATATATTCTCTATGGGCTACTGTACCTCTCTCTATGTATACAAATATGACAATAACTAGAATAGTGAAAGACACGGCCCTTCTCCCCCGCTACACAGCCAAGGCCAACCCATACCCCTGAGCTAGGGGAAAATAATATATGTAATGTATAGAACTCGATAGCGGGGTCTTTCGTGTTTCCCTCCCTTCCTCCCGGACAGCTGGTTCGGAGCTTGGATCAACGAAGGATAGTAATTTGCTTTTCGCTCAGGCAACCTAGTCTCACAGACATGTGGGTGCGGAAAGCAAGCTGGCTAAATGGGAGGTATTCCCAACTGGCAATGAAAAGCGGAGGGTGAATGGAGGGGAATGTCAGGAGGATTGTGGGATCGCTTTTCCAGGAGTGTATGTACGCGTCCCTGATCCCGTTAAAAAGAAGGTTCGGCTTTGTTTTGTTCAGGACCCGTGCAGGTGTATTGTTGTATATTCGTATTCGTATCTGGGGGTGTGGGTTTCGGACATCAAAAGATGTAATAAAAATAACATATTCTAAATATACGACTGGCCTGTCGTAGGGGGTTCCATGTGGCGCGTGGCGTGTGGCGCGTGGCGTGTGGGGCATGTAGGAAAACGCCACATTCAAGAAAGAAAGCAGTGTGATGCTTATAGAGAAATCGGCATGGAATCTAAGATTGTTTGTCTAGGTGTCGCGCGCGCTGTGATTTTGCTCACAAATGTCTCGTGTGAGGTGCGATATATATATGCGGCGTATGCAGTACTGGGAGAGATAGGTTGTTAAAAACGCCCGCAGAATGTAGGAACAATGAAACTTGAACATAATAATAGTGCGCTAAACATTGCGGCTGCGTGCGGCCTTTTATTCACCAATCCCGCCCCAACCGTTCTTCGTCGTCATCCATAAGCTCATAGGCAGGTCTGTACCGAGGCTTTGGCAGGGAAGAGGACTGATCATCATTCGAGTTTTTATTGTCTATTATCTTCAACTTCGGGTTGGGATGCGTGTCATTCGTCCCGCCGAGGCTGGTGTATCCCTCGTCATACAGAGGGCAATACTCAATCCCTAGATGCCGAATAAATGCCCATATTTCCGCATAATGCCAGTCGATCACAGGGTGTATCCGCACAAAGTCAGGCCAGCCGTGGTCTGTGCGATCGAAATGAGTTAGCTTCTCGCCATGCGGATCTGTGCGGCGGGTGCCGACAAATATGGCGCGGATTTGCGGATGGTGGTCTAGGTAAGAGGCGAAGACGGTGCGGATGGTGGAGCAGGGCGGATCGGTGGTGTAGCGGACTAGGGAGAGGTGGTAGGTGTGGGAGGAAGAGGCCACAAAGTCCTCGACGGACCGGAAGGGGTGGTGGGGCTGTGCGTAGATGGCGGGTATTGTGGTTCGGGGAGGAGTGCGTTTGCCATCTTTTGATACAGTTTCAGTCGTGGGGAGTGGGTGAAGGCTGGCTAGGAATATGATGAGCATTACTAGACAGTCCTTGCCGCCGTTGTAGGACAGGGAGAGTTCATGTAGGGAGAAGCGATTGAGCGCTTCTTGCATGACGCTGAGGGAGATACGGGTTTGGTTCTGGACTTTACAGAGAATGCTGGAGGCGTCGTGCGATTCGGAGAGGAATGAAGTGACTTGTTTATGGAGGTTTGCGATCACGGTGGAGAGGGGGGGATGCGAATGTTCTTCGTGAAGCTCTTGACATTCCTCCGCTTGCGCTGGGGTTTGTATAGGGAGGGTTTTTCCAGTGGTAATGTGATTGCTCCGTAGAGGTTGGGTCTGCCCATTTTCTGGTGATATATGGCTCTCTTTGATGGATTCAACACCGTTTGAAAGCAGTGCATCTCCAGCTGCCGTAGTGGATGGAGCGTTCGTCATGGGGATGAGCGGGGCTCGCGCCAGCCAGGTGGTGGAGGGGAGCAGACAAGGACCGATAGGGCAAGATCAATTAGAAGCCTGGTGACGAAGAGGACCTGATTGAAGAGTTGTTCAAATGCCTATACGGAAGACAAAGTGCAAGGAGCAGTAGACAAGGCTAGGGGGAGATGTTGCGTGCTTCGCCGACCTCGCACCGAGTGTCCGCTTGGGGGAGGTTTTTTTTTCTTTTGTGACGTTGAGTTGACATCGGCAAACCGGGCGCTGATGCTGGCTTAGTCACGGCTGTTTCAGCCGAGGAGCTGCAGCAAGAGCCGGTCGGTTAGTTAGAAAAAAAAGTTACAACCTGTGCTTCAAGTCCGTACTCTTAAGATAAAATATATCTCCACTCTAAGCTACTGTTGTTCAAGGGTATCGAATTTTATGATTCTATTTTAATTTTACATATAAATTAATGGGTAAGTTACAGGGCCATATATCCTTTGCGTCGTTGGCAAGCCGTGACATCCCCCGAAAAAAAAAAAAAAAAAAAAAAAAAATCTCCTAGCCCGACTAACCTAAACATAGAAAACGGGAGAAATATATGCAAGTGACAGGTACGATTCCAAGTTCAATACTCTAGAATTGCCCAGGTGTTATCATCTACGGTAGGGTATATCAACCCGTGGCTCAGCAGCTCTTCACTTCCCTTGAACACTTCACCAACAGGCAAACCCATCATTGACGCCAGATTTTGCACGTGAAGTCCTTCGTTCCCCTGCGGCGTATTGCTCAAAGTCTCATACACCTTCCGTGCCAATGGCGACATTGGAGGTAACGTCCTTCCGCCGAGAGGATCCCCACCGCTCGTACTTGCCGCACCAGGCGGCGCATTCCCACCAGGTTGACCACCGGTTGGGCCCCTTGTATAGTATAGGTGAATGGCTGTAGCTTCAAGAAAATGGCAATGATATTCATCCATACTCGTTATGGGGCGGATGACATGCGCGACAAAATTCCGTCGATTGTTGAAGTTGTTAAGCTTCCCCCAAACCTTGGCGTATCCGTTGACTTGGATCTCCGATTCCGAAGAGCGTGAAGCGTCTCCCGTGTCCATATCGTCTCCTGTAGGATTGACTGCGTTCTTTTCCAGCCATAATTTTACTTCAATTTCCCCCGTCCCGTCATCAAGCTTATATGTGACGAATGTGGTTAGGTGGCTAACGGCGCGGACCTGGCCGACGAACGCTAATTGTGATACCTCCGTGCCATCAATTTTAAAGTCTGCGTCTCCGTGTGCTTGGGTAGCTTCCAATGTCTGTTTTATTGTTACAGGACGAAGTGAGTTTTTCACATAACCGCCGCCCTAATACGAGGAAAAAGAATGTTAGCCCTGGGAAGGGGATACCTTTAGGCAAACAGCTGCTGGCAACGAGGAAAGTGAGGGTTGCTTCAGTGTTAATATAGCATTCATACCTTTCCTTCTGACTGACTGCCTCCTTGGCTGCCTCCTTCACCACCTGTAAAACCCCCTCCTGCCATGCCGCCTTGGGCACCATATGAGGTGTATTGGTCGCCATCTGCGAGGGAGTATATTAGCATTTAGGAAAAAGTAAACAAAAAGGCAAGAGGATACCAACCCATAGTCGCGGTAGGAGGCGTACTTTGTAATAAAATGGAAGGGAGTGGAAGGATGTTGTAATTTGATTCTGCTATTCGATTTGTCCTGATATCTTTTAATTCCCCGCCTTGATTGAGTCTCGTGAAGACGTGTCAGTCACGCGTTTTTGGCGCCGGGGAATTTGGCGGGGGAATGGTCGGAAATCGGAGGAATGTTGTTCCTTCACCGCCTTCCCTTTGCAGCCTTTTCGGATTTTGACGCCGGAGAGAAAAAATAGTTTCTCGAACTGCGCAACAACTGCGGCGAATAGGGTCGGTTGCTCTATCAAAGTGACGGTATGTATCTTGGTTATTTGGTTTTCATTTAACATAATGCGGCAGCGGCTGACATGTTTTGTTTCAGTCAACAGCGTTTTCCCTTCTTTATATTCTGCAGCCACCCACCCGTCATGATCTAAAAGGTACAAAGTTATCTCAGGAGAATTCCAGACCCGGGCTCAAGGATTGCCTTGGATATCCTAGCTTGGTAGAGTGGCATATGCAATCCGTGGCCTGCATCCGTTTCCAATGACCATGTCTCATCGAGATGTGTCCCCAGCAGCTTCGGAGAATGAGTTCGATATCTCAAAGCTCCTCTTTAAGGGGGACGATGATGTTCTCGACCTCGAGAAACCTTCGAAAAAGCGAAAACCACAGGAAAGTTTGAACCTTGATGTTATGGGCGACGATGATAGTGGCGATAATGGCGACGAAGCCTTCATTGCTTCTGAGCAAGCAGCAGCAAACCGCAAGGCCTCAAACCTGAAAGGCCGGACTGTAAAAAAGGGCGGAGGTTTTCAATCCATGGGACTTAACGCAACTCTTCTCAAAGCCATTACGCGGAAGGGGTTTTCTGTTCCAACGCCCATTCAGAGGAAAACAATTCCACTTTTGTTGGATGATCAGGATGTTGTCGGGATGGCAAGGACAGGATCGGGGAAAACCGCAGCATTTGTGATTCCCATGATTGAGAAGCTGAAAAACCACAGCGCCAAATTCGGGTCTAGGGCATTGATTTTGTCACCCTCCAGAGAATTGGCCCTACAAACTCTCAAAGTCGTGAAGGAATTGGGTCGTGGGACGGATCTAAAATCCGTTTTGTTGGTTGGCGGTGATAGTCTTGAGGAACAGTTTGAATACATGGCAGGTAACCCGGATATCATTATTGCCACGCCTGGACGCTTCCTTCATTTGAAAGTGGAAATGTCTTTGGATCTGTCAAGTATTCGCTACGTTGTCTTTGATGAGGCGGACAGGCTGTTTGAGATGGGCTTTGCCGCACAGTTAACCGAAATTCTCCACGGCTTGCCTTCTTCACGGCAGACACTTCTATTCTCTGCGACTTTACCTAAATCATTGGTGGAATTTGCTCGAGCAGGTCTCCAGGAGCCAACTTTGATCCGTCTAGATGCGGAAAGCAAGATCTCTCCGGACCTTCAAAATGCGTTCTTCACAGTGAAGTCTTCTGAGAAAGAGGGCGCTCTATTACATCTTCTTCACGAGGTTATCAAAATTCCCACGGGCGAGACAGAAGCGCATAAACGTGCTAAAGAGGAAGCGAAGAATCCGAAGAAACGGAAGCGGTCGGAATTCGCTTCAAATTCCCATAAAGAATCGCCTACGGAACACTCTACTATTATATTCACGGCTACGAAACATCATGTCGATTACCTTGTATCAATACTTCGGATATCTGGCTTCGCTGTGTCGTACGCATACGGTTCCTTAGATCAAACCGCTCGCAAAATTGAAGTCCAAAATTTCCGTTCCGGAATTACGCATATCCTCGTCGTAACAGATGTTGCAGCACGAGGAATCGACATCCCTATCCTTTCTAATGTGATTAACTATGATTTTCCTTCGCAGGCTAAAATTTTTGTTCATCGTGTGGGACGGACTGCTAGAGCTGGTAAGACTGGTTGGAGTTACAGCCTCATCCGAGAGTCAGATGCTCCGTATTTACTCGACCTGCAGCTGTTCCTCGGTCGACCTTTACTTCTAGGACGAGGTTCAGGCCAGCAACTCAACTACACGGAGGATGTGGTTGTAGGTAGTTTGCCTAGGGATAAGGTTTCTCGTTATACTGAATGGGTGTCCAAGCTGCTAGATGAAGATGTTGATGTTGAATTACAGCGCGAAGTTGCGATGAAAGGTGAAAAGTTGTACATGAGAACAAGAAATTCAGCCTCTAGTGAAAGCGCTAAGCGAGCAAAAGATGTGGTTGAATCCGATGAGTGGCTGATGGTGCATCCCATTTTCAGTGATGAATCCAGCCGATTGGAGGAGGAAAGGGAGAAGATGCTCGCCCGTGTTGGAGGTTACAAACCACAAGAAACAATCTTTGAGATTGGTGGCAGGCGTGGGGGAAAGAACGGGAACGATGAGGCGATTGATATGATGAGAAAGATGAGGTCGACATTCGCATCTAAGAGAGCACGAAAGGAGTCTGCGATCAAAAGTGCGCACCTTGGCAACAGTGGAGGCGCCGCTAATGACAATCTACCGAATGATAATGACAGTGATGATGACGGCTTGGCTGACTTGGGCGATGAAAATGATAATGCGATTACTGCCGACAATATGTCACTCGCATCTGATTCAGAACTTGAAGTCACGTTCTCCTATCCACAATCTGGCAAATCGAAATTGAAAACGGACGCAAACGATTCAAAACCTGGGGAGTCATTCCACAACCCAGAGTATTTTATGTCATACACACCTGCATCCAATTCCCTGGCTGAAGATCGGGCGTACGGAGTCCATTCTGGTTCAAACACTAATTTTGTTGAAGCATCACGCGGTGCCACTATGGATCTTGCCGGCGACGAAAGTGCTGCGCGGGGCTTCGGTGAACCACGCTCCATCATGCGCTGGGACAAACGCCAAAAGAAGTATGTATCGCGCCGAAACGACGAGGATGGGTCGAAAGGAGGTAAAGGTGACCTTCTCGTTCGTGGCGAGAGTGGAATTAAGATTGCTGCGAGCTTCCGAAGTGGGCGATTCGATGCGTGGAAGAAAGGGAAGAGGATTGGCCGTATGCCAAGGGTCGGAGAGGCGGAAAACCCTGGCCTTGCTTCTGGTATGCCAGGAGGCAAAAAGTACAGACATCGCAAGGAGCAGGCGCCCAAAAACCCCGACAAGTTCAGGGATGACTACGAGAAGAAGAAAAAGAAAGTAGAGGCTGCGAAGCAACGCGAGACTGAGAAGGCATTTGATCCCTCTTCCGGTTCTAAACAGGTCGGCGTTAAAGGCCGTGAAAAGAGTGAGCTTAAGAGTGTTGAGGATATAAGGAAGGCCAGAAAGGTGAAGGAGTTGAGGAAACAGAAAAATGCGCGACCTTCAAATAAGGGTAAGGGGAGAAAGGGGAGATAGTGGAGGAGATTTGATATCCCTCATATTAGTCACGTCACTAGACTTGGATTTTAGCATTCTGACCTTTATTCGCAATTGAAATTTAACTAAAAAGCCCTGCTCTGTTATTTTCTATTTGCTTTGTATTCCCACCTTCATCGATCACCCTCTTTGTCTACAGCTCAAAACAGGCAGAGGAATCACTTTATGCGTAGCAGGACTGAGAGGCCGAGAAGTAACGTGATTTACTTCTGGATTTATGGTAGCTCACTGGTCACTCCAGTAGTTGTTGGTATGGTGTGCTTCATTTTTCACCAGGGTTGCGAGGAAAACATTGCACCCCTCAGGTATGGAATTCAACTTTGGTTCCCGCCGTTCTTGGACGCCAAGTTAACTCATCTGCATATCTAACCGCCGGGCTTCTTTTTTTTCTCCCTGCACGCAGATGCCTTTGATGCATGGTGCTAGGCTCCGTTTGCCAAGTATATTCTCCTGTCATTTGTGCAACAATGTCTAATTTCATATAATAGCTTGGGGAGGGATGGAGGGAAGAATATGGACATCCTGACATTCAGTATGGTATGTCCTCCATGCGGGTGTGGCCATCAGTTTGATTTTATAAACGGGATGCCTGTGCCGTACTTTTGGCAGATAACTAGTTCCTCTCAGTCAAGAATGTTTTGGGGCAAGCAAATTCGGGACCTTTCATTACTTTTCTCCCGAACTGTATATCCAGCCCGGGGGGAAACACGAGAACTGTTAGGAGGTACGGTTGCCCCAATTCTCCCATGAGCTCCTAACCCAACGCTCTCACAATGAGCGATTCCTCCTTGCTTGCATCGATCATTTCACTGAATGCCCAATTGGTTGTAGTGTAAATATGCACAACATCGCGTTGTCTCACCGTATAGAACTAATTCGGCCTATTCCATTTACTCGGTCCCTTGACACGGCATCATAGAATATAGCATGTGATCGGGAGGTGGAAGCGGTGTTCTTACCTTACCCTGGTGTCGGATTGTCCCCTAGGGCTATCAAACGATTGGCCTTCTTGAACTGCATGGATCTACGTGCGTTCCACGGTCATGATGGCTTTAAAGATTTCATTTCTGCTTGAGCTCCCCGCGCTGCCGCCTGTTCCATTTTCGACCTCTTTCTGGTCCACATCTTTATTGTTTCCTTTTTGCGCAATGTTGTTCATGGGTGCAACCGTAGGTTCTTTATGGGAGCTCGAATGAGCGTGCATGGCAGTTTGTACCCACTTGTGCTACTCGGAAGTACTCTGTGTCACGTTCTTCTGCCATGAGCTTACGGGAAAGATTAACCTTGCATGGAGTTGAATTTATGAATTTTGGCCTGGACTGCAGACTGTTCTGTCTCGTTCGGTGTCCTGTGCAGACAATGGCAAGGTCAGGTATGTACAGTACAATGGCAAACTTGAACAACCTTACAGATTCACATACAATGCTAGGTTCCACCATAGTAATCCACCTTGGAATCAGCTTTGCCAATGCGATATCTGAAATCCTCTCTCGAAAACACACGTTATTTCCAGACGTTGAATAACGGTCGGGCGTGGATCCACATTCTTCAAGCTATTGTACACGCAGCTAAATGGATACTATATTGGCAACACTATCGGAGAAACCCAGCCAGCAACCAAATATTTCAATATGAAATCAAGTTTATCCCTCTACATTCTGTCCCAGTATTCTGTTTGCATTCCCGCTAGCCACGTGAAATTTGGGTCTTACCAACCAACCACGATCAAACGAGTATCTCTACAATACCCTCACTCTGATACAATGTGTGACC